GGTAGTGATGGTGGTGGTGGTGGCGGCGGTGGTAATGATTATGGTGGTGGGGGCATGAGATGAGATAGTGAGGAGAGCTCGGACGGACCACCGCGGGGTCGGAGGTCGCATACGGCTGATTTTGCACAAATCAGAAGCGTACAGATGCTCGGCCGTAAACACGTACCTATGAACGTTTCTTTATACTAAACGTCTCGAGGTGTACAGTATGCCACTTTTTAACGAACGGAGCTTAAGAAACGAGACTTGAATTAGGATTGAGATGCTGCGCTAAAATTCTCGAGTAAACTTACGGTCAATTGAGAGACATAGTTTACCGGAAGCCGAATCGGTTGGCCAATTTATGCATCGTTCCATAAGATACCAATGTACTTTTATGCTTATCTTTGGCGCTAATTTATCGCTAATAGAAAAAGAGTGCGAGATTTAAAGGTTTACAGCAATCTATTCGATTAATTTATTGTTATTTTAATTTTTAAATACTCGATTCAAGGAATAATTTCTTAGTTGAAGTAGTAGAAATGACCTCAACACTGAACATTTAACTCAATCAAAAATCTTCAATGATTAAATATCCGTTTATTTTTACTAAAATGTTCTTTTAACAGCATTCGTTTTTTAATCATTTAAATTTTTAATGACAGACCGGTCTGTATATTTTTCTCTTTGAATATTCTATTCATTTCTGCACCATGCATTTTTTTATTTAATGAATGAAAAAAGATTAAATTTCATAAATTAAATAAGTGTTTGAACTGTGTTTAAATACTTCTGTTTCAACATAAATAAAGCTTATGAAAACATTCTATTTTGTAATGATAAAAAATATTGTTAAATTTCTACGTGCCATTTTAATTATATATGAATGTGAAAAAATTGTATAATAATTTTGGCTAATAAGAGACGTTTAAATATAAGGGAGAATTTTTTATTGCTTCATTATTTCATTAATAAGTTTGAAATTGAAAAAATATTCACACTGTTCAACATCTAAAAATTCGTCGTTCATCTAATAAATTATCTGTTTTCAATTTTATCCTTCATAAATTGAACAATTTATATAGAATTTTTTTTTTTTTTTTAAACGTTTCAAATATATAAGGTGAATGAGAGGAAACTCTACATAGCAAATTTAATAATAAATCCGAACAAGTGCTTTTTCACAAAGCATAGGTTGAGCAACAACAACAAAAATCACACACACAAGTGAAAACCTTTCCATTAACTTTTCCCGGGGTATACCAGAAATTCTATATTTTATGCAAGCAAAGTTAATACATCGAAAAGATAAAATTCTTTATCGTCGAATTCACACCGATGACTGTACACATGAAATAAGACCAGAAGTCAACGAATACCGTTATTCTCGTAAATATGTATATTATATACGTTTTGCTTATTTCTTACGCATCTATGACGGCGGTTTGCCTTTCTAACTAATTTCAACTGTGACGTAATTACATCGTATCCTTTAAAAATATTAGTGAATAATCAGTGGGCCATAGCTAGTGAAGCTATTGAAAAGAATTTCTTTGTTAGATCAAAGCATTTAGAAGTAGATTTGTCCTATATTTACAGTATGTCGGTAATTTATTACAAAACAAAACAAAAAAAAAAATTATTCAATTGCTAAATTGCAAAACGTACAAATTTTATCAAAAAATGAATAATATGACAAACACAAATTTCAAATTAATAAGTAATTGTTGTATTAATATTATTTTTTAATTTTAAAAAATAATGTATATATATATATATATATATATATATATATATATGTTTAGTATTACCGTCGTATCGAGGATATATACAATTATTAATATTTATAATCATTCTTATCTCATATATTTTATATAAATTATATCAACGTATTTAATGTGTAATTAAAAAGTGTACTTTTATAATTTGTTCATACGGGGCTTTTCATAATTCATCCACAATATGTACATTACTGTTAGAATGAAAATTATTACAATATCAGAAATATGGTAATATTTTTATTATCTGCCACGTATTTAAGACAAATAAAAATTAATGTTTAGGGTAAATATTTATTTTCATTTCAAAACTGATAACATTTACTAATGTATGAAGTTCTTAACGTAATAATACATCTCTATCATCATCGTTTCTTTTCTGTTTTTATTTAATATAAACTGACTTGATTGGAAATATTTTAATTCATAGTCATAATTTAGAAAATTTAAGAGTGGATCGTTAATTTATTTATATGAATATTATCAAATACTATTGAAAAAGTCTTGAAATAATTCTCTCTATATAATTTCATATTTTTAATTATACAGATTGCATCTTGTATTTTGGTTTTATATATTTACAACGGATTTTCTTGTTTGAATAAACCTCTTTTTATTTAATAATTATTTTTTCATTATAAAATGTATTAGTTTTTTAATTCATAAAATATTCGACGAAAAAAAAAAGTTACATACGTATGTTCAGTGATATTCAATTATTTAACGACGATGACTATCAAACATTCATTAATTTTTGGATTAAAAGGCGTTATTTAACAAAAATTTTGGCTCTCGAGTGTTACCTATAAAATATTTAAATCATGTATTTGTCTGATTTTCCAGAATAACAAATATTTTCAGTGTAAAAAAAAAAAATTTCAACGAAGTCGATATTAACAAACGAATCTATGTTCCATGGACTGACTTTTTTCAACAATTATTAACTATCCGAATTCGATGCCGAACTATCAATTAATAATTATAACAACATTTGTAATATGAAAGCTACATGTTTACTTAGAATTTTATAAATAAATTGTGCTTTTTATTAATAAATTTGTATTAATTAGTAAATCGTATGATAAATTATCAATAAAAATCAGATTCCACATAATTGTTGTTATTGTTTGTTATATGATATTTATATAAAAAATTTATAGAAAAATAATTTTTGTAAATATATTAAACTTAATTCTTACCGACAAGTGGCACCATCAGATTATAAATTGGTTGAGCAACAGAAGTAGCTTTGACAATGCTTTGTAGTTGTGGCAGGTAATCGATAAAGCAGTTCGTATCTGGTACTAATTGTTTCGGCCTCACTTCAATTTCAACTGACAATGAAGATTTTTGTAAAATTGCCTGAAATAAAATACAACAGTTGCAATAAAAAATGTTTATTTTATATTCTATTTTCACACAAATTACTTAATTTTTTCTAGTTCAAAACTTATTAATTACTCATAATATTACTTATTAATGAAACATGTGATCGCTTGAAGCTTGTAAAGAATAAACATGTAAAGAAATAAATTTTTATAATATAATATGAGGAAAGATAATATGATGACGCTTCATTGTTAAAATGCTATAAACGCCCACATGTATTTTCGAACGTAAAGTATTTTTCTTTAATTGTTCAGGCAATATTATAAGAATGCAAATAAGCACATATGCATGCCAAGTTTTGTAAAAGATTGTAACACACGTCTTTTCGACTGTAACTTGAAGTGGCACGCCAATCAAACTTTTCAACGCTTACTTCTTTAAGTCTAAACTACACTTGAATAAGAATGATTTATATATACACATGCACACGCACGCGCGCGCACCCTTTAGTATGTATGTGGTCGAATTTAATCACACTAACGGATGGTTTCAACGCATTTATAATATGAGCCTCCGTTAATCTGCACGAATTGGCCTAATTCCAGATTACAATTGCACGTGTGCATTTGGCCTGGAATTATGATAGGTTATCATCTACTTGTTCTTTCACGATCAACATCAATTCAATCTTATTATTCTTTTTTTTTAATCATAATTATGATTGTGATACTATTAATATTTCATCAATTATTTTAATAAATCACATTTTCACTACGATATGATAAAAAAAAAAGAATTTTTTAATTAAATCATTCACAAATAAGAATTTCGATATTTTAAAAATTTAAATATTCCCTAAGAGAATGAGTTCATTAAAGTAAAATGAGACGTTAATTCTGAAATAACGTTAAATTTGAAACAAATTTTTTAAACAGCTATAAAATTCTTTCAAAAAACATACTATATATATATATATATATATATATATATATATATATGATGATCAAAAAGAAAAAAAATTAATTTATCTTAAAAAAGCACAATATTATGTATAATTTGTTAAAGAGAACCAAACTTTAAAGCAGAAATAGAATTGTAGGTGATGCCAAAAAATATACATGCGCAATAATGTTAAAGATCTTATTATAGCTAAAAAATATTGCCACTGAAATAAAAAATGATTGAACCAGTTCAAGAAAGTCGAACAATCGTACAGTGAACTAACTGTGTTGCCTAATTCTACATTCTACGGGCATCATGAGTTTTCAAAAGTAAAACTTGTACAGGCTATTTGTATTGTGCCGTTGGACATTTTGACCTGCTTCAAAACTATTACATTTCGCTTAGTCCTTAACTCTTAGTAACTAATAATTGATGATAAAATGTCATTATTCAATGACTTTATGAACTTTCGCATATTAATAGCTTTTCCACATTACGTCAATGTTACTTTCAATACACTAATTTCCGTTGTATTAACTTTTCACTTTATGTTTTTGCCTAATTAATTGTACAAAAATATTTTTTGTATTTTATATTAATAGTCAGTGGGCGTAAAATTTTTGATTGCATTTTAATTATTGTAATTATAATGACAATGAATATTTTCGATAAAATATAAATTATATAGCTGTCTATAACTAATTCTACTACTCAGAATCAATCATAAAATGATAAAGATAGCGGGCATAATATTTTTTGCGAGTATTTAAAAGCTGGCAAAGTGTATATAAAAGGAATCTTGTATTAATAATGAATTAATTATCAAATGTAGATTATTTTATTAATAGATTTTCACATGATTTTCTTATGAATATTATTCAATATCGAATGAGTAATTTGTCTACATGAAGAATAAACAATGTTATCTTTTGGCGATGAAAAAAATTATAATTATAAGACATACGAAGACTAAACATATGTTTTGTAGCAAATTTAGAATTTTAACATATGTTTTATAAACTTCATGCAAGGATAATAAAATACTCAGTGACTAAGGTAATTTAATGTAAATAAAAAAACTTAAAAATTAAAAATAAATTATGTATAAGTCAACAGTATAATAGCGATTTACGGTTAGAAATTGTCTAAATGCATTTATACGTCCGATAAACTGTAAAAATAAATTTTTTCGTCATTACACAAATTTTATTCAGTAATGAAAGGATATAAAACTTGTACTGCTTGAGAAACTTGATTTCGGTATTTATATATAACTCAAACATTTTAAAAAGAACGTACCAACGGTATTTCAAGAAAATCTACTCTGATTCATTACGCGAAAACCTGAAATTTGAAAATGTATGTATTCTACTTCTTCTTACAAAAAGAAGAAGAAGAAAAAAAAAAGAAAAAAAAAAAACAGAAAAAAAAAGAAAAAGAAAATTGAAATGATAAGATTATATAGTCTTAAAATACATTATTAAACACAAATCTAATGCACGTTTGAATATTCGAAAGAGTAATTTAAATTAATGTTGAAATATTATCAAATTTCTTTTATCCTAAGCATTCTACTATGCTTATTTAAGTAAAATACTGATATTATAGGTATAAAAATTATACGTATACAAAATTACATGTATAATATGCGCATGTATAAGAACTTATAGGATTCGTATGTATTCCCATTACAAGCATGCACGAGCTCTCGTAGGCATAACATTATATGTAGGAATGAGTCGTCCTAAAGGTCAATTATAATTATCGGTGAAAAATCCGATTGGACCAAAGTGTCGCCGTGCCGTATAATCAAGCCATGAGAAAAACTAAAGACAAGGTGACCTTCAAAATAGCCAGTAGCGAATGGGGGAGCGTGGGTGGAGTTTTGTATTAGCAGAAGGTTTTACATTGAGCACGCGTGAGAAATGTAGTTGAATCAGGCGTGCGCGTCTGCAACTTCCCATATTAAGCGAATGCCGATATATGTTGAGATGTTGAGGCTCTTGTTGCAACATGGTAAATGCGCGACACATTCGCGGTATCGAGGACAGGTTCATGTGCCGTCGCGTCGTAGTCAGAGGCTGAGCGCATTACCGAGAGAGAAAGGGCACAGGATATGTCAATGAAAGCCATGTAGGAGCAGTTGGGCGATCGAGTTTTACTTATATGCGCAATTTACTCTCTCGGACGTCTAGCTTTTATTTAATTATACTATTATTACCGCCAAGATATAACTATCCCAATATGTTTGAAGAACTGTAAACGATCAAGGCCATTCTTGCACTAGCCGTGTCAATAAAGTAACCGTAAAAGTTATTCCCGTCCGTTAATTTAAACATTTAATTTACATTTAATAACTAATTTCAAGATGAAGACGCTGCATCTTGTGAATAATAAAAGTGACCTTCTAGGACAATTTTACTATTTTCTTAATACTATTTTACCCAACATAGGGACTACATTATCCTTTCTTCCTTCCTCTCGTTTTTTTTTTTTTTTTTTTTTTTTTTTTTTTTTTACTATATGCCAATGAAAATTCATACATACTACAAACTTATGTCATGTCACTAAAAATCACTTTTACCGCTTAAAGCTTAAAAGCCTATCGAACTTTTTTCTAATTATTACAACCACATAACTACAAAATATGAAAATAAAATTTAATCAATGTAAATCTACATATTTTCTTCGTACTCTTATTTATTTTATTTTTATAATGATAAAATTAAATTAACCAAGCAGAATAAATATTATATATATATTATCTATTTCCAATTTTACAAAACTTTAAGTGAAACAAACTTTGATATAATAATCATCTATAATTTTTTATAATGGAAAAATGTGTAAAAATATTATTAAATGCGGAAGCTACAAAATGTGCATATTATTTATAATTTAAGTCAATTTATCAAATGTAAGTAATGATATTCGGTACGTTAATTCATTTTTATCATTACACAATTAAGGGAATCTTGTAAAATATCAAAAGACTTGGCGGTATCATAAATATAAATATCGCATAAAAAATGGAATTTTTTTTTTTTTTTTTTTTTTTTTTTTTGTTTCTTTTTTTTTGTCCGCTACATACAAAGTGAAGCTAATAAGTACCTCAAAAATATTTTTATACGCATAATCTTGAAGAAAAGTCCGTTTATTTTCCCACGAACAAAATCACACGCTATAAATAATAGCTCGAGGTAATGATGATCTTGCGAAAAAATGCTCGAATATCGAAAAGTAAAAAAAAATAATCTCCTGTAGTAGCTTTTTCAAGACAAGAATATTAAAGGGAGAAAATTACATGGGCCAATCAAGCATTTTTCGCTGCACGTGTACGCTCGACGTCGATGATGCAAGCTTATTCAATAACTTCCATCATGGAAATGTATTATCACGTTAATGATTAGTTTTATTTGAGGCGAAATTCAGTGTAGGGCTGGCTTTCTACATGGAGAATTCACCGATTAAGGAAAAAATATGAAAGAACGGAGCAAGTGAACAGAGGGTTGCAAAGCTTTTACGCATTCTTGTAGGAAATGTGGCTACTGACTTATAACTTGCCGAAGATTTTATTACCACACCGAGTTCCCTGGATTCTCCTCGCCAATTACCTTTCTCATTTCCCCTGTATTTTTGAGACAGTTGAACACAGTTATATCGGCTGCTGTCAATAGTTAATGACTCACAAAGTCATTACGAATATGTCTATTGGAAAATATAATATTCTTGTTGATGAATTTACCAAACAACCCGTAATCGAATACATTCCTGTCGTATCTATATGTTTTGAAAATATAACGAATGGAAGAGACTTTTTGTATACACACTTCACATAATTTAATTAAGATATATTTGGTACATACACTTATTTAATAATTTAAATTACAACGATACAATTTAATAGGATAATCGAGTCTTTGTGAAATAAACAAATCGAGCACGTTTCCTTATAATGTTTTTCTTATATTATTTAATACAGAATGCAAAACTTTTTTTGGAAAAAAATTTTATTTATCATTTTAATGCTATCTTACCCTTTTAATTAAATATATTATATATATATATATATATATATATATATATAATAC